AGTAGTAGCTTTTTACCTTGGCAACCAAGGAAGCACTTAGAAAGCCTGGCCTAGAAACGATGTCTACGTGAGTGTTGATCGAATGAGGATCTCTCAGCACAGGTAACAAGGCGTAGGTGTGTGCAACTTTAAAAGCAAACTTAAAACTCACTCTGGCCTGGTGGATTTCAGCAGTCATTCCGTCATGTGAATTGAACTCATCTTAGGTGGGAAAAAATAACATTTCGCTTGCTTACCTGGGAAAGTTTTTGTTTTTACTTTTACTTTTTTTTTGTTTTCTGTTTTTATTTTAAATATTAATTTCTTCTTTTATTTGTGGTAACATTAGGATTTTCCCCATCAGGTATCACCACCATAGGGTACCTGCAGCCAAGCCCCCCAAAGTCACCCCATAGTCCATTGTGCTTCCTCCTCTTCCCACCTCAACCCCTCTTGGGATGCTTTAGTCCTAGGTCTGGTTTCAAGGGCTGGCTTTCTCTGGTTCTTAGTCTGGTTTCTCTGTATTCCACATAATAGTGACACCATCCAGTATGTCTCTTTCTCCTTCTGACTTACTTCACTTAGCATTTTATTTTTATTTATCTTTTTAAAGATTTATTTATTGATGCATACAAGAACTGAGGTACAGGCCAGAGGTGTGGGGGATGAGAGGATTCACCAGAGACAGAGTGGGGAGCAGAACTGGCGGAGGGACTGAAAACACTGCTGAGGGGAGCAGCAGGTGAGTCAGGAGAGGTCTGCTGGGCCATGTGGGTATTTCCCTGGCTGGGGATCAAACTCGTGCTGCAGAGGCTGCGGATAGCTTCATAGGTTGCGTCTTAACCCCTCGCGCCACCAGGGAGGCCCGTGCGAACCTTTTTAGATGTGGGGATTTGATTCCCTTTGAAAGTATCGTCTCCACGACTGCGTGAGTACAGATGGCTGGTTGATAACTGGAGAGACTCAGATGCCTATGACTTTAGAGCCACAGCCAGTTTTTTGTTTGGGTAGTAAACACAGGTAAATTTCTATAATTGCAAACAGCTTTTTCCCACTCCTGCATTAGTGCTTTTTGTCATTTGATTTGACAGGATACCATGTATACAAATTTGGAATAAAGCAAATGAAAAATAAATTCTAGCAGTTTATCATTTTTTCTGTTCGTGTTTATGCGATGCATACAATTTTTACATAGCTCAAATTGATAGTCAATTCCAATTCATGGTTTTAGATTGATCAACTATATTGTATGAAATGTTTATTACATAACATACTCTCTAAATTTTCTTACAGCATTTATCATGTACTCATGCAATACATATACACATACAAAAGAAATAAAAACAAGCACTCTGAGTTCATGCTTCTGAAACAGAACAATATACAAAAGAATAGGTCAGTTCATATATATGGAGGTCATACATTTTTAAAGTATGTAACACAGAATCATCTGTTTATCATCCTATGCAAAACTCAAAATGAGCAGTAGGAGAGACATTCTGTATTCAGTGTCCACCCCCAGGTAGGTGAGTCACTGGAAGGCTTCTCAGGACTCTGCAGCCTCTTGCAGGGCTGTTATTCAGTGCCGTGAAAGGATACAAAAGAAAGTCAGTGGAGAGAAGGGTGCGTTGGGTGAAGGGTGGAGGAAACCAGGGGCAAGTCCTCTCCCAATGCAGCTATGAAGGAGGGAAGTAGGGATTTAATTCCTATGGCAACTAGTAGTGAAAACACACGCTACGTGTTGTTGACTAAGAAGCTTTTTTTTTTTTTAAAGATTTATTTTATACAAGAACCAGGGTACAGACCAGATGTGCGGGAGGGTGAGAGGACTCACCAGAGACAGAGTGGGGAGCAGAACAGGCAGACTGACTGAAATCCACTGCTGAGGGGAGCAGCGGGCGCGGCAGGAGAGGTCTGCCGTGCATGTGGGACCCTCGCCAGCCAGGATCGAACTGGTGCTGCAGAGGCTGCAGACACCTTCACAGCGCTGCGCTCCACCGCCTGCGCCACCAGGGGAGGCCCACGACTGGGAAGCTCTATAGGGACTCGGTGCTTAAGGTTTCCGTTGGCTGCTGGTCACTAAGTCTTTCCCCCTCCAGCTTGGACCAACATTCCAGACTCCAGAAGGAAAGCAAGCGGGTGTTCCGTATAAACCTCATTGTGTACAAAATCCTTTAGGTAGAGCAAATCACTCTAGGAAATGTTGGGAATGTTTGGGAAATCCGTGTTCTCAGATGGTCACCGAGAGCCAGGCAGGTCTGTCTGAGGATAGCAGTGTGGGCCCGTTTGGATGACTCATTTCGGAACAGTAGTTAAAAGCACAAGGCTTACAATCCAATGACCCGGGGCTCATATCACATTCTACCATTTATATTGATGTGATCTTGACCAAGTTATCTAACCACTTTGAACACCTCCATTTTATTGACTGTTAAATAGCTTTAAATAGGCAAATATGTGATTGGATCACCATGGATGTCATATGCAATAATGCAGGTCCAATTCTTAGCACTCTGCCTGCAAGTAGTAATAGCTTGATAATGATGGTGTGTATGGCCGCTGCCTTGATAGAGCTTAGAACATAATGTCTCAATAAGATGCAAACAAAGGAAATACAAAGGAAATAAATGTTTTGTTTTCTGAGTGTGTGTGTGTGTGTGTGTGTGTGTGTGTATCAACTGTAAGTGCAAGAGGGGTTTTCAGGATGGGCAAACATATTCTAGTTTATAAGAATCCACAAAAGCTTCTTTGTCGAATAAATATTCCTTTGCTAAGTGTTATGGAACCACAACTATTCAAAAAGTAGCTTTTCAAGTCAAAGAAGGAGCTGAAATATGGGTGGGGCGGCTCCGTGATGAACCCCACATCTACAACCTCATAACTAGCATCGAAGTGGCTGTTATATTTGATGTTAAAAATTCTGGAAAGGTTTGGAAGCTGGATCTGAAGAAATGGGTAGATATGTCAGCCTAAGACACAGCCTGACACTTCTGTGACTGTTTTTGGAAGTAAGGCTTTCTTTTTAAGGAAATAAAATAAAGCACTTTGATAAACAGTAGCGATGCTTTCCTTCGATGTGGGCTCAGATAGAACTCTCAGCAGGTGGAGTTCTTTTTTGACATAACTAATGATTAAACATCATGATTACCTGAAAAATACATGCTGAGTAAAAACTTCCGGAATGATTGAATTAATAAATGAATGAGCTCTGAATATAATTAGACCTAAAATTCATCAACAAGGGACACCTGTGAGGCTAGCTCATGATTAACAAAAATCATGTCTGATAAGAATGTATTTATTTGAAACTTCTTCCTTTTTTTTTTTTTTTGAAAAGTCAAACAAAAATCACACCCAAGAAATCTGTCTGTAAAATAGAGGCTACCATAGGGGCGGGGGAGATGGAGAAAGAATTGGGATGGGGACTCAGTGCACTGCAGTGGAGTCTGTGGGTGCCTGGTGGTGGGTGAGGTGTGGTAATGCACATCTGAAGAGGTGTGGTCTTGGAGCTCTGAGTCATATTCAGAGTTGTGAACCAATGTCACCTCAGTGAAAACAGAAAGAAAATAAAGCAAGATATCATCTTCTTTGTTAATAAAGTAAGCCAAGCTATGTATAGGATGAAGAGAGAGGTTGTATGATGCTGTGTTTTAGATTTAAGATACCTCCTCAAGCTAATACTTGGCATTAGAGATTCTTTACAAAATAAGGTATATTTTATACTATATCATAGTATAAATGGTTTTGATTCACAACCATTACAAAGCAGCAATATTTTGACATTTTATTGACATCTAATATAATGGGATAAGAGGCTTCGGTTACTTCTTAATAGATGCCATAAATTATATCTTTTTCTTACTAGAAAAAAGATTATAGATGAATTATGCAAACATATCCCTCGTAGGATGTCATTTAAATACACTATATAAAATAAAATAAATTCATGGTAAGTTAGAACTCTCATTGCATCAGGACAGATGTTACTGGAGAAATTAGCAGATCAAAAAAAAAAAAAATGCCAACATCGCTCAGTGTTTTCTTTAGTGCTACCTTTAATAATCTCAATAATGGTAAGAAGCCTTGATGTGGTTATTGCAACCTATAAATATATCAATAATTATTTGACATCACTGTAAATTAAGTTGTGATTTATAGCCTATGCTGAAATATAAACTTATACCATTTAGGCAACCACACTTATAAAATGTAGTGCTCAGTTAGCCCATTCGTTAGTTATCCAGACAACACAAAGGATTGATACACATAATATAAATGATACAGGGGAGGTTATTGTTATTAGTCCAAATAATTGATTAATGCCTTTGAATCCATTCTGATAGTGTAGCATCTGTCATATCATCCATCACAGTTTATAAAATAACTTGATTATTTCTTCCTCTGGACTATAAAACCTTGAGGATTATAGTTGTGCCTTTATGTTTTTATTCCTGGTATGTGCCAACTGGCTTTATACAAGGAGCTCAAGAAATATTGAACTGAACTGATTTGAGGTAAATTGAAGTGAATTAGCTAAGTGATTTTAAAAAATGAATAGAAATGAATATGAAATTTCCAAACCTATATCCAATAATGAATCAAAGTTAATCAATTTATTCTGACTCTGTTCCTTACAATGCTTCTTAATGAAAACACTCATCGCTTGCATTGTGTACGTGATCATATTCATATAATTTTCAGGTGACCTTCACCATATCAGAGAGTTCTGTTCTTCGCAGGTTTTTGTTATACAGATTTACCTGCATTTATTAACATAATTATATATTTATCTATGTCCTGTGGGAAAACTTTTGTATCAAAGTTGAACTGTTATGACCATAACCAACTATATGTAAAATACTTCTAATTTATTATTTTGTGTGCTTTCACCCCTGTGGTTTAAACTAACCCAGCAAGCTGATTGGAAAGTGTTGGAAAGTTTTGCTTATATCCCGTGTGAGCGAATAACTTTTCTTTGCCCATTAAAGTTTACCTTCTCCTTACCCTTCTCTGCTCTGCAGGTCCCATAAGTAGCGTTTTGGTGAATAAATATGGCAGCCGCCCCATCGTAATAGTAGGAGGCTGCTTATGCTGCTTGGGAATGGTGGCCGCCTCTTTCAGTAGCAGCGTCAAGGAACTTTACCTCACTGTGGGGTTCCTGGGAGGTAAGTCAAGTTCTGTTTCCTGCTTGCTTTCTCCTTGGCAGTTCTATTGTTTGCAAAGCTCTTTAAGAAGTGCCAAAAAATGGGAAATTCTTATTTTCTTGGAATTCCCTTTTTAGGACCATTCATAAAATATTCAAGTATCTTAAAGGGTTTTCTGGCATATTGAAATATGGGCTCTAGAATGGTCAAACTCATTGCAAGAATTGGGGAAAAAGTTATATGTTATGTGTGTGTCAAAAAGAAAACAGCGGGGGTTTGTTTTCACTGTTTTTCTCTTCACTCTTCATTTAGGGGCCTCTCAAGGACAGACTGTCTGGCATATAAACAGCTCCGTTTAACAAAAATAACCCATTAGTTATTACTATTTAGAGTATCTTACTTGTTACCCTTAATAGGTTCAAAATACCACTCAAAAGACATTTCCTGGACACACTAATTTAGCTTTAACAATATTATTGTTGTCTATATTTTCGGTATAGATCTGGTTGGTATACCTGAGTCTCCTTGCTAACTTATTCTGTTTAAAAGTTTTCGTAAGGCTCCTTCACTAAACCCAAATATTTTTCAAGGATATCCCGTCATTTGATTATAGCTGTTTCTCATGTAATAGCGTCCAATTGGCTTGAATACGTGCATTTAGAAAATTCTGTTTTTATTAATCTCACCTGCCATTGAATTAAACAATTCTACATTCACAATTTTTAGAAAAATAGACTTCAGCATATAAAGAAATTCAGTCTTTCACTTACATCCATAAATATATTTCCCTTTTATAATCATGTTAGATTTGTCTAAACTTGCATGTATGTACCATTTGATGGGAAAAATATATGTAGATGTAGTAAAACCTACAATAATAGTGATATTAAGGTATTTCTCTTTACAGTGTACCTCCAACTGTCTTCCTTTTGTGATGGCAAAATTACTGTTCGAAATTGCAAACAGGAATCTTATAGCTAACAATTGCCATGGTGGAGGGCATGCCCTTTCCTGTGTAGAGACATACTAAATATGGGACTATAGAATTCAGCTGGACCTACTAGATGTGTTAGGGAAAAGATGATTTTGGCATTACTGTGCCACAGATGTCGACAGCAGTATGTTATTCTAACTTCGACTCCATTGGTTTAGGTCTTGTAGACTTTGGGACTATTGAGTTGAACATTCAATGCAACTACCGGGGATTTATCTGAAATCATTGTCAGCCAGTATGCCTCGGGTTTTGGAAATCAGACAGTCCAGCTTCACACCTGACTCAGCACTCGTGGCTCTGGGGTCAGGGATGGCTGAACCTCTTAGTGACCTTGTCTTTACAACAGAGGGAGAACTTTCTTTTGCAGCTGTTGGAATGATAAATGTAAAAAAAAAAAAAAAAACAAAAACAAACAAACAAAAAAAAAACATACGGTACTTTACAAAGTGTCCAGCATTTGTTGTTTTTTTTTTTCAAATAAGTATTAGTAAATAATGATAATTGCAGTATCATTTGTAAGATATTAATCTTACAGTTCTAGAATTTACTTGACTTTGGTAAACCATCCTTTTATTGTTGTTGAAAGAATAGAGTTCACATAGTCTAAATATTTTTTCCCATTGTACATATAGTGAAGTAGTTGAGACATTTAAATCTTTTCATTTCAGGTTTTTTTTTTTTTTTTCGTCATGCTGGTGTAGGAAATAAATGTCAACTGTCTCCTAAGGAGAACATGAATTAATAGTTGAAGGCAAAATTCAGGGGAACAAAATGGGGGTGGAGGGAGGCAAGGGATGGCATAAGATAAAAAAATTTTAATTTTGAAACACAACGTCTGGGTTTTAATTTGAGTTCCTCCACTTATAAGTCTCTTGACCAGTTTTATTATTTATATACTGGATCTACTTGCAGCTAATCTATCTATTTTACTGGTAAGGCTGAGATAGGGTGAGAGAACATGCCGCCCTGTTATTCTTCAAAGCATCTTGCTTCCTTTGTGTCATCTTTTAAGGACCTACCTGCTCACAGACAGTGTTCGTATTGAAGGGTTTGAGTATGTGTACTCAGAATTAAATGTCCAAGAATTTGTATATTTAGCCCCGTTGCAATGCTGTTTCAATATATGTAAATTAGCAGATGCAGAATTGTAAAATAAAAGCGTTTTAAAATACTAAATATAGAAAAATGTCTAGGTTAAGTAGAAAGAGAGGTAGCTGATATAAATCAACTTTAGGTACTATTAAAACAACCTTATTTATTACTATTGATGAATTGTACCTTGGCAAGATTTCAGAAGTAATTCATTTCTTAAAGGTGGTGCTTAAGCTCTGCCAAGGAGTTCCCTAGAGAGCAAGAGTTTTTGACTCCTAAAAATCGGCTTTAATCCCTAAAATAGGAGTGTTTTTCAAGCAAAATGATGCATTTATTTTTTTGGTTAGTATGCATGTGCATCTGTATTCGTGAACGATCGAATGTGAGGTATCTAGAGTATGAAATTACATGTTTATTACTCTTTTTTACTACTTGCATGGTTTTGAAATAAATATCCGGGGACATGTAAGATTTTTTAGAAATGACAGTCTTTTTTGATCTATTCACATTCCTTCACTCTAAATATATAGTGGAATGTGTGATGTGTGTGTATATAGTAATATATATATAATATATATATAAATTAATCTCTTCTGAATTCCACAGATAAATTAAATTCTTCCATTTTGGAAGAGATTAATTTATCTGTGGAATTCAGTGATTGTGATTAAAAATTAAACATTTTGTCCTAGATTCAATCATTGAAACATCAGTAGAAGTTCTTGGTTTTCTGTTGTGCTTTCACATGAGAGGAAATGAAACTGTTATGGATATTGTGTCCCATCCCAAGGGTGGTTTCTTTTGTGAGTCGCCTACTGTATCTGCTTTTCTTCTTTTTGTTTTCTTCTTTTTAGGTCTGGGCCTGGCCTTCAACCTGCAACCAGCCTTAACCATCATCGGCAAATACTTCTACAGGAGACGGCCTGTGGCTAATGGATTGGCCATGGCAGGAAGCCCTGTTTTTTTGAGTACATTGGCTCCTTTCAATCAGTACCTTTTGAATACTTTTGGCTGGCAAGGGAGCTTTTTGATTCTGGGAGGCATACTGTTGAATGCCTGTGTGGCCGGGGCCCTCATGAGGCCAATTGGCCCCAGACAGACTGCTTCCAAGTCTAAAATTAAGCTTGACGTAGCATCAGATGATGCAGATGTGAAGAAAAGCCATAAGAAGATGTCGCTCTATCAGAAAGTCAATAAGTATTTAGATTTCTCCCTTTTTAAGCACAGGGGCTTTCTGATCTACCTATCAGGAAATGTTATCATGTTCTTTGGGTTTTTTGCCCCCATTATATTCTTAGCTCCATATGCTAAGGACAAAGGCATTGATGAATATTCTGCAGCCTTCTTGCTGTCTGTTATGGCTTTTGTAGATATGTTTGCCAGGCCTTCTGTGGGATTAATTGCAAACTCCAAATTTATCCGGCCCCGAATCCAGTACTTCTTCAGTCTTGCGATCATGTTCAATGGATTGTGTCATCTCCTGTGTCCTTTGGCACACGACTACACGACACTTGTGTTATATGCCGTATTTTTTGGGCTTGGCTTTGGGAGTGTTAGCAGTGTCCTTTTTGAAACTCTCATGGACCTCGTTGGCGCTGCAAGGTTCTCCAGTGCGGTGGGACTCGTCACCATTGTGGAGTGTGGTCCTGTTCTTCTTGGTCCTCCCCTGGCTGGTAAGAATATTGCTCATCTGGGAAAGCAACATGCATAAAATTACTATCTACTAACTCTTATTTCTTGGTAGTGCATAATGTGGTTTGTGATAGTAAATCTAGAATAGCTCTAGCGACTGGGGGATGTTAAGTCTCAGTTTTATCGTGAATTTTAAAATTTCACAGTTGATTTTATTTTATTTTTTTGATTTATTTATTTATGCATACAAGAGCTGGGGTACAGGTCAGAGATGCTGTGGGGGCTGGGGGTGAGAGGACTCATCAGAGACAGAGTGGGGAACAGAACAGGCAGATTGACTGAAGTACACTGCTGAGGGGAGCAGCAGGCGAGTCAGGAGAGGTCTGCTGCGCCATGTGGGTTGCTTGCTGGCCCGTGGGGAATTGAACTCGTGCTGCAGAGGCTGCGGACAGCTTCATAGATTGCGTCTTAACCCCTTGTGCCACCAGGGAGGCCCTCACGGTTGATTTTAGACCTAAGTGTGTTTCAGGGTCTGGGTCTGTGAACTTAGAATTTAGGTCAGCTGGATAATCAGTAACATAGTGATTTTCAGGTTTTGTCCATATCAGTTGTTTCATGCTTTGAAAGATGTCTCCCAAAACTAAAATGTCATTTCTTTATGCTGGCATTGGTGAGTAGATTTCTGTTGCAATTAAAATGAGTCAAAAATTAAAAATAATGCTCTTAAGCAGTAAGACTCCGTTTTCTCATTGGAGTGTCTTGGTTGTATTGATAGGGTGCTTGTTACAAGTCAAGGAAGAATGCTTTTGTAGTATCACTGGTAAGAATATATGAATATACTTATATATACCTGTATAGGAAATGCAGAAATGAAGGGAAATTCATTGGGAATCACTTTTGATCAGGATTTATATTCCATATTTATAAACCATAAAGATTACTTTTAGATTTTAAAATCAGAAATAGGCTCAACGTTTCCTATAAGGAGTAAGGACAAAGATAACATAAAGGTTAATTTTTGAAGTGAAGTCTTTATTTAGCGATAGATTAAATGTTATAAATACGAAACAAATATTATATTTGATGTTATACATATTACGTACCATTTGTGAACCTCCTTTGCAGAACCCCCTGTGTGTTGGTTTGGCTGAAACAGAACTTGGGTATTCTTTGAGCCTCCTGGCCTGCCCCCTGGTGACCAAAGCAACTGCTGGACTAAATATCCATTTTTTTTCAAATATTTAAATCAAGTTTTATATTCCTATTGACATCAAGGAACCATCTTGAAAATGGGAAAATGCATGTTTAATTTGTTAATATTGAGGCATTATTGGTCTTTTGCTTTTCTCTTCTTCACATGTTCAGAAATTAGTGGTGTGGTCCATCAGTGTTGTCCAAGAAGTTTGTTTAAAACTGTTTTGTAGAGTAGTTAAGAATATGAAGTTCAGACATACCTGGATTAGAGTCCAGATTCTGCCACTTACTGGCTGTATAACCATGGCCACGTTACTTCCCAGGGTTCTTATAAGAATAAAGTGAGATACTGTAAATCAAGGACTAGACTATGTCCTTGATTTAGCTGCAGGTACTTCATAAAAGTCTTTGTTTTTCCTAAGGAATGTAATTTTCCCCTCTTTATTGAAAAGATAGGAAGCAAGAAAAGGATAAAACAATCCCTATATATATATATATCATAAGTAAATAGGTTGATAAATATATAATATGTACAGGCATTAAAAATGTGCCTTACAGATGTGTTTTTGAACATATACACACGTATGTACCCAGTTTATGTTGGTTGTACATCTTTTGTGTATACATTTTTATCAAGGTAAATAATTTTTAATAAATGAAACATACTGGTAATATAACGCTGTGTGTACCTATGTATGTTTTTACTATGAATATATGGAATTCTTAATCTAAGTTTTCTTTGTAAAATGTCCTTTAATATTAAAAAAGCAATAAGTATGCATTTTGGGGAAGAACTTATTTTAAAAGTTTATCATTTTATGATAAACTATTAATTATGCTAACTTAAAGTATGTTCTTTGTCTTTAAGGTCAGTTGGTGGATAAAACTGGAGAATATAAATACATGTATATGGCCTGTGGCGCTGTTGTGGTTCTAGCGAGTGTGTGGCTGCTCATTGGTAATGCTATAAACTATAGATTGCTTGCGAAGGAAAAGAAGTTGGAAGAAGCAAAAAAGGAGAAGATGCACAGTCCTGATTCCACAGAATCTGAACCATTGAACAAAAGTAAACATTGCGAAGTTAGTATCAAAAGTTCGAGAGAAGGGGCCGCTCCTTCAGAAAGAGAGACTAATATCTAAAAAGAAACACATCTCTGGTTTCAGTGTTTATGACTTTGCTAGGACTTTTCCCCCCAAATATCATTTTTTTTTATTGTTGTGGTGAGTCATAATTAAGGATGGAGATGATATTTTTCTCAATGGCAAATTTTAATGAAGTCTTTTTAACATTTTATTTGGTTCCTTAAATTTGAGATTCTACATAGAGCGAATCTGTGCAATGGGTTTAATTAAGTGCGTGACTCTGATCGTGGTGGCTGAATAATTTTAAAGTCTTCTAGAGACTTTCAGGCTTGGTTATAGAGATGTGAGTTCCAATCCCGGTATAAGCAGTGAGTAGGAGGATGTTTAATCTCATAAAGTGACCCGTCTCCACATATCATTTTTCTTTTTGACACTAAAGTATCAAATTGAAGGAAAATGAGTTTTTTCCCTCTTGTGTGCGTACATATGTACTCCATTCTCTCTTTCTCTCTCTCTCGCTCACACACACTCACACAATTATGCACACACTCATAGAGTGTCTGGAGGAAAAAAAAAAGACCAGTTCAAGGGGGATATTATCACTGCAATTTTTTAAATAAAAGAAAAACCCACAGAATAAAAATAGATGTATTGTATCTCCATTGTGCTTTACCATGTGGATCGTAAAACCCGACAAGAACATGGGTGAAAACGAGGATGGTCTTAATCTGAAATTGCAAGTCACTGCTGTAAAAAAAATTGCATTTTTTAAATAAATTTGAACAAAAGAAAAAACTCCACTTTAAACCATTATTTCTGAGCACTGTTAGGTTTGATTAATTCACGCACATGATTTTTTTGGAGGGAGGCGTTGAGGACCTGGTGCTAGAGAACAGAACCCTCAGACAATTTTCAGAATCCTCAGTTAATGTGTAAATCAAGTTAAAAGCCTAAATGACTCCTAGCAATAAGCTACGCCCATTGATTTTAGAAGAGGCTACCTAGAAATCTATAATTTGATAACCAGGGATTTCTTTTAAACAGAACTTAATTCAGACGAACCGTAATACTGCAGCCTCAAAGTGGAACCAGTCAGAATCCTGACTGATAGGTTTACAAATAGGTCAAATTCTAATTTTTCCCAGCATACAGTGATGATCAAAGGGTTCCTGCTGGGAGTAATCCATCTGATTAAAACCATCTAAGAGTGGGAGGTGCTTCTAATGAGGCTGCTAAGCTCTCATTTCCCTCCCCTTCCCAAAATGCAAAAGCAAAAAAATTAAAAAAAAAAGAAAATTACAGACCTTTTAACTCAGTCTCTGAAAATACCTCATTGTCTAAGAAGAACAGCACTTGAATTCCCTCCTCCCCAGGGTGAGATTTCACGCTGCCTGTGGACATAACTAAGCCAGGAGAATGTAAGAAAAGGCTTTTGGAACTGAAGGCTGAGTGTGACTTGATAGCCACTTGTGCGGTGTAGGTAGAGCTCTTAACGCGACAGTGAGAAGCAGGCAGTGCTGCGGCCCAGGCTAAGAGAGAAGAGTTTCTCGTTCCCATCGCTCTACGAAAGCATCTGGGAATCAGAATCACTTTTGAATACAGAGGCCTAGGATAGTTCTGTTTGTTCCGAACTGTAAATACCATTTCAAGTGAAAAACGTGCTTTTAAACAAGAAGAAATTGCATTATTACGACGAGTTATAAATATTTATATCTAGAATCTGAAATTTAAATGAAGTTCATGATTAATAAAAACATTGAGTGCTTGATTATTGAAGTGATGTCACTCTTAAGATGTCGAAAGGAGTTTGCAGTACATTTTTTTTTTTTTTAATTTCTGTAGAGGTAGGTGCTATTCTTCTTCCCTATAAAATTGCTCCTGGATACCAAGCTTTTGTGTTGGTTCATGTTAAGGATTTGATTTGTAAATATATGCACTGTTTAGGTACGTGGATTTTACCTAAGTTATATGAAATTCCATCATTCATTTGACGTTTGCTTATTTCCATATGAAGAAGTATTCATATTTTCAAATATTAAGTAAAGCAGGCTGTGCCAATAAAATAGGCAAATAAATCAGGGACAATGTGACAGTCTATGGCTATTTCAATTTAATTCCATCTAATCTTGAGTCTTGAATTAGCTTTTTCGTATTAGTGCTTTTACATCTCGCTCTCAATATATTCGTCACAAGAAATGCAACATCATAAATTGTGCAGAAATTCTCACACCGTTCCATAACATGTCGTGAATTCTTTGAAGATACACATTTAAATTAATACAGATCTCAGACCCCCAGGGTAAATAAACAGCAAAACAATAATGTGGAGCCCTAGATTCTGCTGGGAATATGGGGGTGACTCCATCCCGCAGCTTTCTCCATGGAAGGAGTCATATTTACCAGGGATGAGTTTATCAGGGCAAGCCAGTTTGTGTCTGTTCTGTTGCTCCCGGGTCACCTTACCTCACTTTTCATTTCAAACACTGAGTTTATTAAATTGTTAGAAAGAGGAAAGGGAAGTCAACCTGCACATCCACAGCGCACGAGCTGAGGCATCAGTCCTGCCCCAGCGGCACTGCACACACCACAGATGGGCCCAGGTGCGGACTCCCGGACATAAGGCGCTTTAGAATGAAATCAGAGCACCCTGGAAGCAGGGGTGCAAGCTCACATCCAGGAGCCGCAACTGTTCAAGGGCAAAGTAAGCTTGTCTTCATGTTCACTCTTCCCGTTCCTGTAAATGTGTTATCCCTGAAGCCCCTTTTACGTCCCATACCTCGGTTACAGAGTGGTGCAGACGGCAGTGAATATAAACCAGGGTCTCACGATCATTCTCAGCATAGTCAGCTTTAAGTTGGTCCATGTGTGAAAACGGAGCACCCCCCGGTAGTCACTATTGAACCTTAGACATGCCTCGTCTACTGATAGCATGTTGGCGATCCATCGCCTTGCCCTCACCCTGCCTTCTTCCCCAATCCCCTTTGTGGGTCTAACCAGCACACACTTGCGAGTCAGTGGGTTGCTCTGGTGTAATTTATCTTGGAAGACAGGATTTTTTCTCAGTATGAATTCACGTGATTCATAAATTTCATTTCTCTATTTCCAGCCACCTTGATTCATGGGCTCCTCTTAAACACTAGGAAATAAATAGAATAACTGTATTTGACTACGTATTTTTAATCTAGTTATCTTGACTTATCCTTTGACAGCATATGGCAATTAAAATATAGAAAAGACCCAAGATGTGTGATATGCTTTCCTATTGATGTTATAAGATACAGTAATATCCTTCATCAGTGAGTTGACACTTATTTTGCATTTGAAAACGTACATTAAAAAAACTCTCGAATGTAAAATGTAGATTTTTAATACGATTTAAAAGCATGATTATGTTCCTTAGGGAGAAGGCATGCAAAGTGGGAAAGAAACTAAATTATGCCCTACATTTTGCTTATATAATAAGATTTACTATTCAACATAAAGCATCATGGGTAGATGGGTAGTTTAGTGGCCTGATATAGCAGGATATAGCAGGATATAGGATGTCATAAAACCAGAACTGAAACTCAGTTTTATCTCAAAGCAGAAAGAGCCCCTAGGCTGTTAATGTTAGAAGCTGCAGAAGCAAAGTCAAGTAAAATGGAGACTCAGAAATGTAAACACTACATTGTAAGTCAACAGGTGTAACTGCAGTTTGCATTATGCTTATTTAATGTTTATTAGACATTGTGTTTGCTATAACCTAAATATATTTTTGGGGTTGCCTGTTTTTCTAGCCAATGCAACATCCAAAAAATGAAAAAATATATATAGTAATGTGTGCATAATAGCCATAATTGCTTTTATTTGTCCTCTTTCGTGAAAGTAATGGCATTTACAATATATTTTCTCTGAGGTTGGATTTAGAAGAAAAATGCTATTTTTTTATAAACAATTCCCATATTTGTTGCTACTTGTTATGACTCGAAAATAAAAAGCACTTACTATGAAACATGTTCATAAAATCTTAGTGATGCCCATGTATAGGATTATTCCGAGCTACCAAAATTTCATAAATATTATAAAATGCAAAGAATTTGGTTAATGTATACAGTATTTTCATCAGTGAATGCAACTAGCCCTGCACCCTAACTCATTTCTCAAGTTACCTTGAATATCCGTATTGTCTTTCTCCTTTCTTTCCATTTGTTCTATAGCGAACACAAGTATCATTACTTTTGTCCTTTCTCTATATTTTTGACATCTTTGGGATCTGGCTCTCCTTTAGCTCCATTAGCTAAATAGCTCTATTTCAGATGGCGGGCACACTCTCAAAGTCTCGTATCCTTCACATAGTCACGATGTTGTGTCTTGTCTTTATTTGTGACGCGCAGAGGTAGCTGTGCTCTGGAGCTAACGGTCTATAATTTTGCCCATGGCAATTCATATTCAAAAACTTAAGTGACTGCAGACTTATGCTTTTCCAGATAAGGAGAGCACTGATACTCTGGAAGATTTTTCTTTGTTAATGTGTTCTCCATTGAATGGTAAATACATCATTGAAGATGACTTTCGAAAATTTAGAAAATTCGATCATCTTGCCCTTACTTGTCCTTGTACTTACTCCTGGGTTTCTAATTTTCTTACAATGCCTGACTACTTTGAGAAGCAAAGTTTACCATCACAATGTAACGCTGTTCCAGATCATCCTGCAGGTTCTTGCAATGCAAGGATATCACTGATACATCAGATCAACTAGATCCCTCACCCCAATGGTGCATGATCCCAAAGAGCATAGCAATTATTTAGATAAAAATTAAAATTGCTGTCATTTCTTGTGTCTTTTTTTTAGGTTTTGATTTCTCTCTACCTATGTACAGAATTTTATGTTTGAAAATGCACTTATCCGTTAGAGCCCCAACTATCAGTAATTAATTAAGAAAGCTTGTATAGTCAAAAATCATAATCTTTCCTGATAAGTAAAAATGAATAATTCGTAGAGTTCATGTCTTTTTTTGTAGTTCAGATTTTTCTGCTTTACTGTCGATTGCTTTTGCACTATCGGCTGTAACTCTTTATAAGGTCCTTCCTACAGTTGTGGTTGGTTGGTTTGTTTTTAGTCTTTCTCTTACTGCTTTTTTTTTTTTTTTTCACTTTATTTCACTTAGGTACAGTCAGTTTGTGGAATAATTATTGTAGTATTGAGAATGATCCTTTGAGTTCTCTACCTTAAGAGGAAAAGTAATACTACAAAAATCAGTTTTGACTTTAATGGGGCATATGGTAGTATTTTTAGACCAAATTATTTCTCCCATTGCAATTTCATGCTGCTTTAATGCCAACCTCATTTTCTATAATTATTTTTAAAAGTGATTTTGTTTTTATTGTTTTGCAATATATAGGTCAAATTCTTTATCTTTTGTTATAATTATGGACATTCTTTAGTAAACATGTTTAGCATAGAATAGGGGCTTAGATATGTACTTCCCCTATTTATACGGTCTCCTTATTTTTCAGTCTTCTTATGTACTTGTGAGTAAGGTAATATTCAGGACTATTTAGTAAGCAATTATTCAGTGACCATGAATTCATTACTATTCCAGCAATTTTTTTTTCACATTAAAAAAAAATCCATTGTTTTAAATACAAACATGACAAAATAATTAGAGGTCTGTGTGAAAACATATTCCATGTCCTATTAAGTTGTAAAAAGTTAAGAACAGATAAATAAAAGATTCATCTGCAAAGAAATCTTACTCAGACCTAGTTTAAATAGTTTGTTTATTAAAGTATAAATTTCTGATATGTAATATATTAATGGACTTTATTTTTATATTACATGCTTGCTGTTTGTAACTAATATCTGAATATTTCTGGATTAGGGGAAAAGGACTTGTGAACTGAAGTGTTTATTTTCTAGGCATTAGATACAATTGTATTTTGATTTGTATTGTATTTTGGTTTTGACATATTTGCATATCAAATTGCAAACTTAATTTGTTCCATCTTCTCAAGCCTGAAATATTTGTTAGATATCTGCATTTTTACAGACTAAGAGGAGAACAGTCTAAGGGGTTTGCCTAGACATATATCTATACTGTAAATTAATCAGGGTTGAAAATTAAAACCAGGTCTTTTGACTGCTAACCCAGTTTTTGCTCCATACGTAAGTCATCCTATTTGTAATGATGTACTCTAATACAATGATAAATATTTGTTTGGAAACACATAAACTTACTTTATAAATCCTTTTTTATTTCCAACATGAATACATTTCTCCTACTGATCATAGTTTTCAAAATCATGTTTTTAAATTTCATTTGAAGGATATTTGCTGATTCCCACAGGATACAATTCTGAGTAAACTGGGCATAATCACTAGTGAGATGAACGATATTGCACAATACATCTTGCTATAGCAATATAGTGGTCAAAAAAAACACCATGATATGTTTTGAATCCATGTGTCAATATTCCATTTCTTCCCTTTTTTGCTGATGTTTATATTTTATTTTAGAAGCGTCATTCACTTATGTGTTTCCTAAAAGTATGCCAGAGCACACAACATGCAAGAAAAAAATTATTAAATTACTAAGTCATATGCAAGAATTTATTGACATTGTGTGACCTTGAGGAGAAGACCTCCATAATAGTTCTTGATCTAAGATCTTGGGAGGGAGGAACGTATTAGTAGGATTAGAACAATCTCAAAATTTCCTGCTTTTAAAATGGTTATTTCACCTAATTAATAATACTAAATTAATAATACTAAATAATACTAATTAATATACTAAAATCTATAGGAGGTGTCTAGAAGCAGTAAAACTAGTGTTTCTCTTATCTTCGAGGTACCATCTTCCTCCATCCCAATCTTACCTAAATAAATATTCTTTCTCTAGTTTTTTTAAATTTCATTCCAGCAAAAATGCACTCCAAAAATATAGGTCTCTGGTGGTGCAGAAGAGTGATTTCTATTAGGAACTTGTTGTGCAAAAGCAGTAATCTGTACACAGAATTTATGTGCTTAATTTATGAAGAGTACTTACCCTCAGAGCACACTTTAATAACACTTTGGGTCAATTCATGTGTCACACTAAAATCTTTCATGAATAGAGCCCTAAGCATGTGTGCAGCCAGTGATGTATTTGGGTAGATTCGGTCAAACTGATCCCCATACTCTGACTGGCACTGCCATTGTGACAGGGGACAACTTTCCATAGCCACAGTGAGTTATCAACTAAATATAAGGTTCCCTCTTATTAATGACACAAGAATGTGGTTGTGTGTTAGATATGAGTCAGGTATAGCAATTCCTATGTTGAAAATGGAAAAGCGAGGTCTTTCTAAATATGCGTTTAAATGTACATTTGATTTGAAGTTTTTCTTTAAAAGCACTTCCATCCAAGTGGCTTAAACTACCGTGCTGCTTGCTACCTCCTGGAATGAGTAATACTCTAGTTTTTAGGGTTTTTTTGAAAATATTTTATTTACTACATGTATTTCTTCAACAAATACTTCTTTTGTGTTCTCTTAGTACATTTGGGAAAATACTAAAAGTAAGATTCTCGCAATAAAAGTTAAACATAATGACGTGTTGCTAATCATATAGGTATAAGAAAGACATTCCCTGCAAAAGCCACAGCTAAATTAACTTTTGCAAGAATTCTTTCGGGGTTGGATATGGGGTTTATCTATAAATTATCTTTTAAATGTGCATCATCTCTTAGGCTGTATTTTTATGATTTTTAAGTGAAAAGAAACAAGGTGTTGTTGATTTGTTTGTCCTCTCAGCATCTTAAAGACCACTGAACAGGCCCTCCTGTTGCCACCTAGTGTATCAACAGTGGTTACTAAGATAGGAAAATAAAGAAAAGGGTAGCTTTGTTTGACTCTTAAGGTGATCCAATCAGTCGTTTTAACATGACAAATCATGGCTGTACAGATTTCATTGTTCAAAATATCAACACGAATAAAATCACTGAAATCTCCTACCAATGAATGTATGTAAAGTGACTGTGATTAAATCTTGAAATGCATATTTCTGTAATTTATATATATATATGTTATATATAAAGCACATATATATTATATATGGTAGTGTCAAACTGAGCAAACAAAACGTGTGAAAGAAAATTAACTAAAAATGAACAAACTGGCGTTGTCATAATGTATGTATTTTGTTTTTTTAACTAAACATAATGTAGATTCATTTCAATAAGCAATATATCGTATTGTCCATCATTTAAAAAATATAGTGCTACTTCCTTTTTAGGCAAACTTGTTTCAATACTGAATTATTTATCACTCAACTTTCTTTTAAAGTACAGTAGTATGTGGACTTAATTTTCTGGGAAAACCTGTTTTGGAGTTTCTAAGTTTCACTACATAAAGAATTTGAAATTGAAAGTCAAATTCCTCTGTCTGAGTATATATATTTGCCTGTAGGTTTTAATATGTTTTCAGATTCATCTCTTTCTTACTAGACTGTGAGCTCCTTGTGGACAAGGATGTTATCTTAATTACAGTAATAACTTTCAGGCCTAACAAAGGGTGAGGCACAGAATAATTCTTTATTGAAATGAATTGATGAATCTATATTAATAAATGAATACTACAGTATTCTGTCACAGACTGAATGTATATTAGAAAAATTCTGACTAATGTTCAAAATAAGATCTAGAAAGCAACAACTTTAGCAT